GCCTGTCTGCAGGTTACTGTGTAGCCGTCAACAAGAATGAAGTAGACCTCACTGAGAAGGGCCTAGAAAGATGCTCACAATGAAGTGGAAAGAAAAAACAGGTTGGCGTTCCGGCCCAGTTGGCTAAGCCACCACTTACAAAGCCAACATCCCATGAGTGCTACGTTGAGTCTTGGCTGCTCCACTTCTGATGACCCAAGTACCTGGGCCCTGCCAGCCACGTGGGAGACTCGGGCTGAGTTCTTGGTTTCTGGTTCCAGCCTGGCCTAGACCCGGCTGCTGTGACCATCTGGGGAGTGAACCAGCAGATGGAAGACCTCTCTCTCTCCCCCGCCGGGTCACTCCGCCTTTCAAATAAATACATCAATCTCAGAAAGACAGAAAAAACAGCATGCTGCGACAATTCCACTTCCAAAGGAAACAGAAGATGTGTGTAGGTGCCTGGTTGGAAGCCGCCACGTCCTCTCCCATTTAACCAGGATTTGCTGACTGCCCACCATGCAGCCTGACTCTTCCTGGGATCCCAGAGCCCAGGGAGCTCCTCCCTTCCAGCAGCACAGAGGACAAACATGGAAATACGTAAGATCGACTTCTACGAAGTACATGGTTTGGTGCCCCGCAGGGCTCAAAGGTTTGTCTCTCTGCCCGAATACGATAGCCCAACACAATTCCACCTCCCCCCACTCCGTCTCCACCTTGCGCTCAAGAGTGCAAAAGCACATCTGTGGGGAGTCAGGGGTCCGTCTCTGACTCCAGGTGGGAGACGGGGTGATGTGTGGGGCTGCAAAGAGGACCTAAGCTCGGATCAGACCTCCAAGCGATCCCGCAGTCTCTGGAGCTCAAGGCACTGGCTAGGGGATAACCATGGTGAGAAGAGGCACCCCAAGGAAACATGTGGCGCTCAGTGAAGAGTCCTGAGGGTCGGGGGTCCAGGGGGAGCCAGGTAGATCCTGGGGACCGCCTCAATCTGAGACCCAGAGTGCTGGGGCCCAGGGAGGTGAGGAAACGTGGGTGACTCTCCTGAGGGAGTGATTCTGAGCTGGCTCCAGCTACATGGAAGCTTCCTGGGCTACACAAGGCCCTAAGCTGGGCTTGGTTTGTAACTCTCGAAAATAACCACAAGGGCCACATTGTGGCACAGTGGGTAAGCTGCAGGCTGCGACATCGGCATCCTATACAGAACCAATTCAAGTCCCTGCTGCTCCACTGCTGATCCAGCTCCCTGCCAGTGCATCTGGGAAAGTGGCAGAAGAGGCCCAGATACTTGGGTCCCTGCACCCACGTGGGACAGCTGGATGGAGTTCTAGGCTCCTGGCTTTGGTCTGGCAACCCTGGGTGCTGCAGCCATTTGAGGAGTAAACCAGCTGATGGAAGCTCTCTCTCTATCCCTCCCTCTCTGTCACTTTTGCCTTTCAAACAAATAAACAAATCTTAAAGGAAAAAAAGCACTACTGTCTTCAGTGTCCTTCTGCCTCCTGGTGTCCAGTCCACTTTGCAGACACACATACACACACACAGAGTCTCCACACCCTGTCCACGGTGGTGCTGGTGCAGTGTTGGGGCTGGGGCAGGTTTGCACTGGGTTGTGGAGTGGTGGCTGAAACAGCGGTGCCAACAAAGGCTGGTCAAGGAGAGTGAGAGAGCAGTGACTAGGCAGGAGTCCAAGCACATAGCAGAGGTGATGTGATGGGAAAAACTTGAGTGTGTGTGCAGGCTAAAGGAGAATATAAATGGGAGAGAGGGGCCGGCGCTGTGGCAGCGGGTAAAGCCACCGCCTGCAGTGCTGGCATTCCATATGGGTGCAGGTTCAAGTCCCGGCTGCTCCACTTCCGATCCAGCTCTCTGCTATGGCCTGGGAAAGCAGTAGAAGATGGCCCAAGTGCTTGGGTCCCTGCACCCACGTGGGAGACCTGGAGAAAGCTCCTGGCTCCTGGCTTCAGATTGGCATAGTTCCAGCCATTGTGGCCAGTTGAGGAGTGAACCAGTGGATGGAAGAGCTCTCTCTCTCTCTCCCTCTCTGCCTCTCCTCTCTGTGTGACTCTGTCTTTCAAATAAATAAATAAATAAATCTTTAAAAAAAATGGGAGGGAAACGGAACACACAGAGTGAGAGGCCTCCTGATAGGTCAAGGGGACAGACTCGAGAGCACACAGGGGACAGGGGAAGACACTTCTCTCTCGGAGCCAAGGGAGAGATGGACTCAGAGGAGGCTGAGCTCGAGGTGGAAGGGCCGCATACTGGAGGCCTGGCCCGGGAGACTCACCTGCTCAGTGAAGTGCCTGCAGTCAAGGCAGGAGAATGAGACAGAGGGGAGAAGACCAGAGGCTCTGGGGGCCCCTAAGTCCGGGCACAGGGCCTCTGCCCAGCAGGGAGGATCTGCTGGGTGTCTCCTGGTGTGGACCACGGCAGACGCAAAGGCGCTGGGGTCCTGAGCAGGGAGTCAGTGCAGCCATCAGGAGAGCGGGCCCCGAGGAAGCTGCCTGAGCGGGGGAAGGGATCAAGGCCCCCAGTGGGCCTTGTGGAGGCAGAAGGGCGAGGAGGGCGGAGGGCAGCCAGATGAGCAAGGGGACACGGGCGGACAGCAGAAAAGCTGGGTCTCCTGCACTGATCTGGGGGGCACAGCTGAGAGCCACGTGGTCCTCACGAATCCCGAGACACCCTCATCCAGGAGGCAAAGCATTGCCTACACCGCGGCTCACCATTCGGGCCTCCAAACGCCAGGGAAGGATCAGCGTCACTGGCCACTCCAGACAGAGGACCAGCCCTGAAACGGGAGAGTCTGACAGACGCGGCATGAGCAGTGCGCCCTGGGAGGCATTCAGCTACCCACCCCAGAGGACACGCAGGCCCCGCCCTCAGAGCACCCACCTTCAGCAGCTCCACGGCCACCAGCACCTCCTCGGCCGGGACCTTGCTATCCCCCAGCACGTTAGAGAGGGTCCACTTGAGGGGCTTCAGCAGGAAGACTCCGACCCCCCAGGAGATCCAGCTGCTGTCCACACTGGCCATGAAGTCTGACTCCCGCTGCAGCTCCCCTCGGCTGCAGGAGACAAAGAGAAGGCCGTGTGGCAGCACTGAATGCGAGGTCCCGTTCCACCCCTCACGGGCGAAGTTCATGCTCCCCATGACCATTTATGAGGCTCCTACTGTGTGCTGCCGCTGTGAGCAGCAGCACTTGATACTCCAGCTGCAAGCCTCATCACAACTCTGCACGATAGCTGGGGTCGGCGGCATCTTCACTAATGAGGAACAAGGAGTGACCGCAAAAGAGCAAGGCCAAGTCCAAACCATGATCTGTCTGGCTGCAAAATGCCCGCGCCCCCCTCGCAGCCCACAGGCACACAAGGCTCCTGGGCCAACGCTGACCCTCAGCTAGGGTGGAGACAGGAGGTACAGGTTTCTCTGCACCAGAAATAACGTGAGCAGCTCAATTTACTGACTGCACACCTTGGGCCAGTCGCTGCGCTGAGGGCTGTCTTCAAATCCCCACAACAAGCCTAGGCGCCCTGATCATCAGCATTTTGTGACTGGCCAAACTGATGGGCGTCCCAGACGCTGGAAGCGGCAGCCCTGGTCTTGTCCCTCCCCCTGCCCCACGGGATGGACTGCCACAGTGTCACCCCGTGCAAAGGTGCGGGGGACAAACGCAGCAAAGCAGCCTCAGAAAAAGCAGACAACTGGGAGGAAAATGAAACAAAACCAGGGCTGACTGCCTGCTTCCTGCACTGAGGGAGGCCCCGTGCGGGGCTGGGCTCAGCACCTGCACAGCTCAAGTGCAAAGCACTCAGCACCCTGAACACCTGTGGCCCCATCCGGGTCCTCAGGTGCAACCTGAGGCGGAAACCCGACCAAGTGACCTGAATCGGCCACTCGGGTTCTTTCTCCGCCTGGCCAGCCCAAACGGCGTGTGCCGGACATGTACAGACCGCACAGTGCTGTTCTGTGAGCTACCCTGTGCTTGCGGCCAGCCTCTCACCTACGGCCCCTGCAGGGCCCCGAGATGCCCCACAAAAGCCCTCACCCGCCGTCGCGTCCCCTGCGCTCCACACAGCCCCGATCAAGGGCAAGTCAGAGGGGCCAGACGCATGGCCCGGGCCGGGGCTGCCCTCTCCCCTACCGCTGCCCTCTTCCCAGCTGTGCCCGTCGATAAACCCTGCAGATCTGAGACCTCCTGCCCCGGCTTCACCCGAAATCGGACACAACGGGACCCCAGCCCAGACACATCACCGCCACCTCCGCCAGGCTTGCTTTTAGCCCCGCCGCCCGGAAGCCACATAATAGGACTTCTCGGGCCCCCCAACATCTGCCCGGGCCCTCTCCGCTCCTCTCTCCAAACACCCACAGCCCGGCCTCCGCCGCCGCCCGCTGACCACTCCGCACGCCGCGCCGTCCGAGCCCGAGCCCAGGCCGCCGGCCGCCCATCCCTCCCGGCCCGGGCCCGCCCCTCACCGCAGCAGGTCCTGCAGCACCGTGGCCAGCCCCAGCGGGACGCTGCCCTTGCGCTGAAAGGCCTCCTGCAAGTCCCGCAGACGCAGGCGCACCACCCCCTGGCGGCGGCTGTGGCTCAGCACCAACGGCGCCCAGAAGCCCATCTTGCTGTCCCAGTCGGTGCTGTTCACCTCGCGACTCCTCTTGAACGCGGAAAACAGGAAGGACATGCGCTCCTCATCCTCCTCCCACTCGGGGGGCAGCAGGCCCGCCGGGTCTCCCCCGGCCGGCGCCTCGGCCTCCCGCTCCGGGGACCACATCGGAACCCCAGCCCCGCCAAGGCCCCGAACACAGCCCTGGACCTGGTCCCCTTCCGCCCAAGTCCCCTCTCGGCTTCCGTTCCTCGAACACCTCCTCCTCTTCTGTCATCGCGTCACCGCCGCCCGCGGCGTGAAATAAGTCCTTCACGTCCTCAGGGCGCAGGCGTCGCGCTGTCCTCCTTCGGCCAGGAGGCGGGATGATGACGTTATGTTCGGAGAGACACAGAGCGCTTGCGCTGACCCCCTCCTGCCGCGCTCTTTGTGAGGAACGGAGCGCTTTGCGCGTGCGCGACGAGTAGGCGCGCGTTGCGCCCCTTGTTGAATTATGGTGTGGAGCGAAAGCGCTCTAGAGAGGGAAGTGAGTGGCTTCAAGGGTTGGGACTGGCGGTAGCTCCCGGGTCAGGTATGTGGTTACACAGAGGTATATATCCACTGACATTTCTGGCTCATTTACTGTTTGCCCAAGCAATACCATGACAACCCTGTGAAGTTAGGTTTGGAGACTGTCTCCATTTTGCAGAAGGGAAGATGGTATTGATTTATACTATTATTTTAAGTATGGTGAGGAACATTCCTAAAAAGAATAGTGTGGGATGTAAGGAAATAAGTTGAGCCCTAAAAAGCACAATTTTCCAGAAGGCTTTCTTTCTTTCTTTCTTTTTTTTAAATCTATTTGAAAGGCATAGAGAAAGAGTTCAAATTCCCACCTGCTGGTTCACTCCCCAGTGGCCCCGGGGAAGCCGGGAACTCGGAACTCCATCCGGGTCTCGAGCGCTTGGGCCATCCCTCGGATGCCAGGCACATTAGCAGGGAGCTGGATCAGAAGTGGGGCAGCTGGTGCTGCACAAGATGGCGGCTTACCCTGCTGTGCCACACACTGGCTCCAGAAGCATTCCTTCCATGTTGTCATGCCCAGTGACACAGCTGGTTGGCTTCCGCTGGGAAGACAGACCAAGTGGTTTCCCACCCTGTGTCAGAGGAAGCAGCCGATCACGAGTGGTGGAAGAATCTGGTGGAGCAACCTGGCAGGGTGAGGAGAGTTAGGCTGACGGAGGAGCATGCTACACGGAGCAGCAGAGGGGAGCCAGAGGCTGGCTGTCACAGCATGGACGCCAGTCTGAGGTGTGTACATGTAGCAGGGGTCCCTGCTTGGTTAGAGTGACTTTTTTCCCATGATCCAACAGGTTTTCCCATGCAGGTGACTTTCATTTCTGCACAAGGGTGGGGAGCCTCCAACACCCTTAGTTTGGGGACTTTCCCAGCGCCCTGGGGCAGCCCTCCACACCTTGGTTTCCTGTCTGATTTAATTCAAATAGTTCTACACCTGAGCATTTTCCCAGCGTTTGGGCCTGAGGCTGCTTGCACTTGAAAGTGCCATAGGTTCTGGACGTCTCCAGGCTGGATGAGTTCCTGGGAGCAATGGAGAATGGAGGAAGAGCTGTGCTGTCCCTGAGTGTGTCCCTGGTATGTGGCAAGCTCTTTGTCACCTTGGGGGTTTCACTCCTATGCTGTGCCACTCCCCTGCATGACTGACTGTTTTATCCTTGAAGTCACCTCTCACAGTGGCCTTGTCTGAACCACCCTATTTAAAATGACGTCGTGGAGTTTTAGAAGGGATGGATCACTTTGCCAGCACCTCCTGATTGATCTGAACATCACAAACAGAGCGACAAACAGACATCATATGCCCCTGAAGGGATATAACAGGAAGCACAGAGAGCCATTTGTGAAATTTCTTTTCAAGACTGTTGAACCTGGGGCTGGCACTGTGGTAAAGTGAGTTAAGCCCTCACTTGGGAGGCCGGCGTCCATAGTGGAGTGCTGGTTTGAGTCCTGGCACTTCTTTCCCCTAGTGTTTTTTTTTTTTTTTTTTTTTTTTTTTGACAGTTATAGACAGTGAGAGAGAGAGAGAGAGAAAGCAGAGAACTGGACTGGAAGAGGAGCAACTGGGACTAGAACCGGCGCCCATATGAGTTGCTGGTGCCGCAGGCGGAGGATTAACCAAGTGAGCCACGGTGCTGGCCCGAGTCCTGGTGCTTGTAATCTAGCTTCCTGCTAAGGTGCCTGGGAAGGCAGCAGATGATGGCCCAGTATATGAGTCCCTGCTAGCCATGTGGGACACCAGGATGGAGTTCCTGGGTCCTGGCTTCAGCCTGGTCCAGCCAAGACTGCTGCCGTTATTTGGGGAGTGAATCAGCAGATAGAAGATTGATCTCTCTCCCTCTCTTTTCTCTTTGCCTTTCAAATAAATACTTTTTTAAAAAAATTGAATCTGAATCTGATTAAGTCACTAGATCTGAGTGCTAGTTTATGGAGGAGTAAAAAAGTATATAAATATGGGGCCGGCATTGTGACATAGTGGGTAAAGCTGCCACTTGTGATGCCAGTGATCCCATACGGCTGCTGCTTTGTGTCCTGGCTGCTCCACTTCCAATCCAACTCCCTGCTAGTGGCCTGGGAAAGCAGTGGAAGATGGTTCAAGTACTTGGGCCTCTGCTTCCCTCATGAGAGACCTAGTAGATGCTTCTGGCTCCTGGCTTCAACCTGGCCCAGCTCTGACCATTTCAACCATCTAGGGGAGTGAACCAGTGAATGGAAGATCTCTCTCTGTCTCTCCTTCTCTCTCTGTAACTTTGCCTTTCAAATGAATAAGTAAACCTTTCAAATATATATATTTTATTTATATATGTACATATATAATATGTATATGTATGTATATATACATATTTATCATACATCCATATATATAGAGAGAGAGAGAAAGAGAGAGTAGAAGAATTAGTTAAGTGAAAATGGAGGTTGCGTTCAGCAATATCCAGCCTGTGGGAAATACTACCTGAGAATGACCTTGTTTCCTTAACAAATAATGTCAATCAAGACTTAAGGTGCACTGTGCAGACTTGATTGGACCCTGTTTTCACAGTGAATCATAAAATCTCACCCATGGGACAGTTAGATAATTTCAATATTACCTGGACACTTAATGATATAAGTGAATGATTTAAAGGCACTTGCATGGTGATTATGTTTTATTAAAAACGTCTATATTTTGAAGATACATCTGATTTTTTTTGTAAGTGAAACTATTACCTTCCTTTTTTTATTTTTAGTGGATTGGTAGGTTTTTTTTTTAAAACTATTTATTTATTTATTTTGAAAGAGTTACAAAGAGAGAAGGAGAGACACAAAGAGATCTTCCATTCACTGGTTCCTGCCCCAGATGACTGTAATAGCCAGCACTGGGCCAGCCCAAAGCCAGGAGCCAGGAGCTTCATCTGAGTCTCCCATGTGGGTGGCAGGGGCCCAAATACATGGGCCATCTTCCACTGGTTTCCCAGACCTTTACCAGGGAGCTAGATAGGAAGTGGAGCAGCTGGGACACGAACTGGTGCCCATATGGGATGCCATCACAGTAGGCAGCTGCTTTACCTGCTTATGCCATGACACCCAGCCCCCAAACTATTACCTGCCTAAAGTGAATCCACGTCTTGGTAAGTGGGAATCAAAAACTCTGCTAAAAGCAGCCATCACACAACATAATCTGTTTGTAGCCAATAGAGACCACCAGAATAATTTCCACAGCTCTGGCTTCCCAAGCAAGGGAAATCAGGGACTTCTCTGGAGTGGGGCATAGATGTTCAAAAGGGGGAGTTTTGACCTATGGGCAGAGGCAGGGATCACATGGCAATGATTCTTAAGCTCCTCATGGGGCAGACATCTTAGCCTTCACAACAAGCAAAAGGGGGCAGGCCTTTGACTCAGCAGTTAGGACAGCACCTGGGCACTTGGCCCCTGCGTTCTCCATCAGAATGCTGACGTTTGATAGCAGCTCTGCTTCCAGTTCCAGCTCCCTGCTAATGCCGGCCCTGGAAGGAAGCAGGGGATGGCTCAGTTGCTTGGGTCCCTGCTACCTGTGTAGGAGACCCAGATTGAATTCTGTATTCTTGGCTTCAGCCTGACCTCAGCTGGGTCTGTTGCAGGCATTTGGAGAGTGAGCCAGCAGATGAAGTGTTCTCTCTCTCTCTCTCTCTCCCTCCCTCCCTCCCTCCCTCCCTTTCAAGTAATTTGAAAAACTAATGTCAAAATTGAACCAAGCGTGACTTTTGGATACCTTGTGATCATCCGCCTGGGGGCTGTTCTTGTAGAGTCTAGACCTGTTCAGGGTGGGTGGTGACTGTGTCTCTCTGTAGAGCACGACTGAACACAGCTTTGAAAGTTGTCAGGTGCTCTAGGCCTTCGCAGTACACATGAGTCAGGATAAAGCCTTCTGAGCAGCTGATGACAAAACTGTATGATATTTGGGATAGAAGTTTGAATAGGGAAAAGTCCAGAGTACACATTTTGTACTCTTGTGTCCAGCACACAGCCTGGCATTAGGTGTCATTCTGTTTATTTTTTTAAAGATTTATTTAATTATTTGAAAGGCAGAGTGACCGAGAAACAGGGGAGAGAGGAAGAAAGACAGAGAAATAGAGAGATCTTCTATCCACTAGTTCACTCCCCAAATGCCCACAACAGCCAGGGCTGCACCAGGATAAAGCCAGGAGCCTGGAACTCCATCTGGGTCTTTGAACTGGGTGGCAGGACCCCAGGAACCTGGGCCATCTTCCACTGCCTTCCCAGGTACATTAGCAGTGAGCTGGATCAGAAGCAGAGTGGCTGTAGCCGAAGCTGTGGTGTAGCAGGTAAAGCCACCACCTGCAGTGCTGGAATCCCATATGGGCGCCCGTTTGTGTTCTGGCTGCTCCACTCCCAATCCAGCTCTCTGCTGTGGCCTGGGAAAGCAGTAGAAGATAACAAAAGTGCTTGGGCCCCTGCACCCATGTGAGAGACCCAGAAGAAACTCCGGGCTTCTGGCTTCAGATTGGCCCAGCTCCAATTGTGTGTTTGTTTGGGGGAGTGAACCAGTGGATGGAAGACCTCTCTCCTTTCTCTCTCTCTCTCTCTCTCTCCCCCCCCCCTTCCCCTCTCTCTCCCTCCCTTCCTCCCTCCCTCTCCCTCTCTGCTCCACCTCTCTGTAACTCTGCCTTTCAAATAAATAAACAACTCTTTAAAAAAAAAGAAGCAGCAGAGTGGCTGGGACTTGAATGGGCACTCCTGCTTGTGACACCACCAGCAATCCAAGTGGTGACTTAACCCTCTGCTCTACAAGACCAGTGCTCAATATTTTTTTAAATGAATAAATAGGAAATGACCTTGTGTGCTTTTTGGTTTCATCTGTGTTGGTAAAAAGCAGTGTGATCTTGGGGCTGGTGCTGTGATGTAGTCGGCTAAGCCTCTGCCTATGGCATTGCATCTTATATGGGTGCCCATTCAAGTCCTGGCTGCTCCACTTCCAATCCAGTTCTCTGCTAATGGCCTGGAAAAGCAGTAGAAGATGTCCTAGGTGCCGGGGCCCCTGAA